TATACAACACTCCAGTTATACAGTACTACAGTGGTGAATTTATACAATACTCCAGTTATACAGTATTACAGTGGTGAATTTATACAACACTCCAGTTATACAGTACTACAGTGGTGAATTTATACAACACTCCAGTTATACAATTACAGTGGTGAATTTATACAATACTCGGTTATACAGTATTGCAGTGGTAATTTATACACTCCAGTTATACAGTATTATACAGTGGTGAATTTATACAACACTCAGTTATACAGTATTACAGTGGTGAATTTATACAATACTCCAGTTATACAGTACAGTGGTGAATTTATACAATCTCCAGTTATACAATTACAGTGGTGAATTTATACAATACTCCAGTTATACAGTATTACAGTGGTGAATTTATACAACACTCCAGTTATACAGTATTACAGTGGTGAATTTATACAATACTCCAGTTATACAGTATTACAGTGGTGAATTTATACAATACTCCAGTTATACAGTATTACAGTGGTGAATTTATACAATACTCCAGTTATACAGTATTACAGTGGTGAATTTATACAATACTCCAGTTATACAGTATTACAGTGGTGATTATACAATACTCCAGTTATACAGTATTACAGTGGTGAATTTATACAATACTCAGTTATACAGTATTACAGTGGTGAATTTATACACTCAGTTATACAGTATTACAGTGGTGAATTTATACAATACTCCAGTTATACAGTATTACAGTGGTGAATTTATACAACACTCCAGTTATACAGTATTACAGTGGTGAATTTATACAACACTCCAGTTATACAGTATTACAGTGGTATTTATACAATACTCAGTTATACAGTATTACAGTGGTGAATTTATACAACACTCCAGTTATACAGTATTAGTGGTGAATTTATACAATACTCAGTTATACAGTATTACAGTGGTGAATTTATACAATACTCCAGTTATACAGTATTACAGTGGTGAATTTATACAACACTCCAGTTATACAGTATTACAGTGGTGAATTTATACAATACTCCGTTATACAGTATTACAGTGGTGAATTTATACAATACTCAGTTATACAGTATTACAGTGGTAATTATACTCAGTTATACAGTATTACAGTGGTGAATTTATACAACACTCAGTTATACAGTATTACAGTGGTGAATTTATACAATACTCCGTTATACAGTACTACAGTGGTGATTATACAATACTCAGTTATACAGTACTAGTGGTGATTATACAATACTCCGTTATACAGTTACTACAGTGGTGAATTTATACAATACTCCAGTTATACAGTACTACAGTGGTAGTTATACAACACTCCGTTATACAGTATTACAGTGGTGAATTTATACAATACTCAGTTGCACAGTACTACAGTGGTGAATTTATACAATACTCAGTTATACATTACTACAGTGGTGAATTTATACAATACTCCAGTTATACAGTATTACAGTGGTGATATACAATCTCTTATCATCGTGGTGAATTTATACAATACTCCAGTTATACAGTACTACAGTGGTGAATTTATACAATACTCCAGTTATACAGTACTACAGATTTATACAATACTCCAGTTATACAGTACTACAGTGGTGAATTTATACAATACTCCAGTTATACAGTACTACAGTGGTGAATTTATACAACACTCCAGTTATACAGTATTACAGTGGTGAATTTATACAATACTCCAGTTATACAGTACTACAGTGGTGAATTTATACAATACTCCAGTTATACAGTACTACAGTGGTGAATTTATACAATACTCCAGTTATACAGTACTACAGTGGTGAATTTATACAATACTCCAGTTATACAGTACTACAGTGGTGAATTTATACAATACTCCAGTTATACAGTACTACAGTGGTGAATTTATACAATACTCCAGTTATACAGTACTACAGTGGTGAATTTATACAATACTCCAGTTATACAGTATTACAGTGGTGAATTTATACAATACTCCAGTTATACAGTATTACAGTGGTGAATTTATACAATACTCCAGTTATACAGTATTACAGTGGTGAATTTATACACACTCCAGTTATACAGTATTGTAATTTACAACACTCCAGTTATACAGTATTACAGTGGTGAATTTATACAATACTCCAGTTATATAAAATTACAGTGGTGAATTTATCAGTTATACAGTACTACAGTGGTGAATTTATACAATACTCCAGTTATACAGTACTACAGTGTGAATTTATACTCCAGTTATACAGTACTACAGTGGTGAATTTATAACACTCCAGTTATACAGTATTACAGTGGTGAATTTATACAATACTCCAGTTATACAGTACTACAGTGGTGAATTTATACAATACTCCAGTTATACAGTACTACAGTGGTGAATTTATACAATACTCCAGTTATACAGTACTACAGTGGTGAATTTATACAATACTCCAGTTATACAGTACTACAGTGGTGAATTTATACAATACTCCAGTTATACAGTACTACAGTGGTGAATTTATACAATACTCCAGTTATACAGTACTACAGTGGTGAATTTATACAGTACTACAGGTTTAAAGCGCTTGGGAACTTCATGTTTTCTTCTTTCCTTGTTGTTATCAGCATATATATATATATATATATATATATATATATATATATATATATATATATATATATATATATATATATATATATATATATATATATATATATATATATATGTATGTGTGTGTTTTATTTTTTATTTTATTTTTTTTTCATGTAGATCCACAATGAAAACGTGGATAAGATAAATCTTGATAAAATCACACAGGGAAAAGGGAAATAATGGAGTCTTGAAGAAAGACGAAAGTGCTCCATTGTTTCCCTTTTCCCTGTGTGATTTTATCGATATATATGGCGGCTTATTCGCTAGGCCACGGTAGGACGCCACCCTCCGGGAGGCTCCACATTGTCTCACTGTTCAGTCCCCAAAACTTCTTCCATCAATAGTTCATTCACGGTGTATGTAAGTTCCACCTTGTTTTTCACTACAACAGTACAGCAAAGTATATTTTTTTAGCATTAAACTGTTATTATTTTATTGTCTAATCATCACTACATATAACACCACCCATTATCACTACATATAACATCATCCATCATCACTACATATAACACCATCCATCATCACTACATATAACACCACCCATCATCACTACATATAACACCACCCATCATCATCACATATAACACCATCCATCATCACTACATATAACAACATCCATCATCACTACATATAACATCATCCATCATCATTGCATATAACATCATCCATCATCACTACATATAACACCATCCATCATCATTGCATATAACATCATCCATCATCACTACATATAACACCATCCATCATCACTACATATAACACCATCCATCATCACTACATATAACATCATCCATCATCACTACATATAACACCATCCATCATCACTACATATAACACCATCCATCTTCACTACACATAACACCACCCTTCATCACTACATATAACACCATCCATCATCACTACACATAACACCACCCTTCATCACTACATATAACATCATCCATCATCACTACATATAACACCATCCATCATCACTACAGATCGGTAAAGTAGTTTCCGAGATTCTCGTGCGGACACACAAACAAACAAACACACAGAGAGACAAATTTCTTTGTTTTATATATATATATATATATATATATATATATATATATAATCCTGACCTAAGTGTAGCACTCCCTAAAGTCAGCATACGCTCTCCTACCCCACACAACTAAACTGTATTAATGTAATTTAAGCCATACCATACATGTAAGTACGTATAGCGTGAGCAGCACTGAGGCGGAGCTACAGCCAAGCAACCGACCGCTGTCCCTCGTCCACCCGAATGAGTCGTATGTCTGGTAATTCATTTTTACCCAACACTTCACTTTTAACTGCTACATGTAGTTAAAAGTGAAGCGTTGAACATTGCTCCGGGAGCTCCCTTGACTTTGCTACGGGAGCTCGCTTGACTTTGTTTACAAGGAATTTGGGTGAAAGTAGCTGGGATGGGTAGTAGTATATAAAAGATATAAAATAACAAAAGGGCCCCCCTAAAATGGACTTTTGTTCTGGGCCACTAAAAGGGACGCTTGCCCCTGGGGTCCTATGGTCCAAAAATTCAACCCTGATGGACTTCGACTGACGCAACAAACTGATAAGTTTGATATTGAGAAGCTGTGGAGTAAAGTATGGTGGCGTGTTACTACCTCAGTATCCCTCGCTTTAAAGACACGGTCCTTGGTCAACACTGAACCACAACACCAAATAGTCCCACAACAACAGCGACACCCCACGGGCATTTCAGATACTAACAGACACAACTCATACTATCACAAATTAATCCCTTACACCAGAAAATACGAAAATATTAAAAGTATTAAAAAAAAACCTTATCTTTCTCACTCCTTGAAATATTGGAGACAGTGTGTTGTTACTATGTAGGTAGACGCCCAGTGACATGAGACACATACAGTACTTCAGGTTGGATATAGTAATAAAACAGTTGGTTGGGTACAAACATTAATATCGCAACTGTGTTTGTTACAGGTGTGTTGTGGTAATAGTGGTGGTGATATTACAGGTGTGTTCATATTACAGGTGTGTTGTGGTAATAGTGGTGGTGATATTACAGGTGTGTTCATATTACAGGTGTGTTGTGGTAATAGTGGTGGTGATATTACAGGTGTGTTCATATTACAGGTGTGTTGTGGTAATAGTGGTGGTGATATTACAGGTGTGTTCATATTACAGGTGTGTTGTGGTAATAGTGGTGGTGATATTACAGGTGTGTTCATATTACAGGTGTGTTGTGGTAATAGTGGTGGTGATATTACAGGTGTGTTCATATTACAGGTGTGTTGTGGTAATAGTGGTGGTGATATTACAGGTGTGTTCATATTACAGGTGTGTTGTGGTAATAGTGGTGGTGATATTACAGGTGTGGTTGATGATGAAGATCTACCTGGCTTTACCTGTCTTAATGGCCTTGCTACAGACAGTTCCAGCCGTTCCTATGGTAAGTCTCTCTCTCTCTCTCTCTCTCTCTCTCTCTCTCTCTCTCTCTCATATATGAATACCCATTATCTCAAAGTTGAAACCAATTCAAATTAAAGAAACATTCTATTACCATTATTAACTGAACCCAATTATAATGACCTTTGACCTGACATGACCTAACCTTACCTTACCCATTCCCCCACCAGATCCGCAACACATCTCAGAACAACAAAAACAGCAACAACAGCAACAAGAAAGGTATGTACCAAACCCAAGCCTTATTCATGAAACTCGAAACACAACGAACCATAATACACCAAACCACTTCATTACAGTCTGTTTATCATTGCATTTCAACACTTGGAAGATAAAATGTAAATACTAAAACTCAAAATGATTTAAACAAATAAAATATATCTCCTTCCAGAACCTAAATATCGAGAATAATTGAAGTTTTTTCCTGTTAGTTTGTAAAGTTTTCGCATTTCAGGGGGATCTGCTTACCTGTTTTCACCTAATTAGATTTGTAAACTACTTCTACTAGCCGATTATTACCTGCCTAGATTTGGCCATTATTATCCCAGCTTGATTTATCTCTTGTTGTCCTAGCTGAAGTAACTAATTCTTGGCTTAGCTGAAGTAACTAATTCTTGGCTTAGCTGAAGTAACTAATTCTTGGCCTAGCTGAAGTAACTAATTCTTGGCCTAGCTGAAGTAACTAATTCTTGGCCTAGCTGAAGTAACTAATTCTTGGCCTAGCTGAAGTAAATAATTCTTGTCCTAGCTGAAGTAAATAATTCTTGTCCTAGCTGAAGTAACTAATTCTTGGCCTAGTTGAAGTAACTCATTCTTGGCCTAGCTGAAGTAACTAATTCTTGGCCTAGCTGAAGTAACTAATTCTTGGCCTAGCTGAAGTAACTAATTCTTGGCTTAGCTGAAGTAAATAATTCTTGTACTAGCTGAAGTAACTAATATCTAGATTGACTTGCCTAATTCAACAAGGAGATACTCACCTAACCATTTTCCTCAAAGGGTTAAACCATCATCATCAAAGGGTTAAACCATCGTCCTCAAAGGGTTAAACCATCGTCCTCAAAGGGTTAAACCATCATCATCAAAGGGTTAAACCATCGTCCTCAAAGGGTTAAACCATCATCATCAAAGGGTTAGACCATCATCATCAAAGGGTTAAACCATCGTCATCAAAGGGTTAAACCATCGTCATCAAAGGGTTAAACCATCGTCCTCAAAGGGTTAGACCATCATCATCAAAGGGTTAAACCATCATCATCAAAGGGTTAAACCATCATCATCAAAGGGTTAAACCATCATCATCAAAGGGTTAAACCATCGTCATCAAAGGGTTAAACCATCGTCCTCAAAGGGTTAGACCATCATCATCAAAGGGTTAAATCATCATCATCAAAGGGTTAAACCATCGTCATCAAAGGGTTAAACCATCATCATCAAAGGGTTAAACCATCGTCCTCAAAGGGTTAGACCATCATCATCAAAGGGTTAAACCATCATCATCAAAGGGTTAAACCATCGTCATCAAAGGGTTAAACCATCATCATCAAAGGGTTAAACCATCATCCTCAAAGGGTTAAACCATCATCATCAAAGGGTTAAACCATCGTCCTCAAAGGGTTAAACCATCATCATCAAAGGGTTAAACCATCGTCATCAAAGGGTTAAACCATCGTCCTCAAAGGGTTAGACCATCATCATCAAAGGGTTAAACCATCATCATCAAAGGGTTAAACCATCGTCCTCAAAGGGTTAAACCATCATCTCAAAGGGTTAAACCATCGTCCTCAAAGGGTTAAACCATCATCATCAAAGGGTTAAACCATCATCATCAAAGGGTTAAACCATCGTCCTCAAAGGGTGAAACTATCTCACGTGCCGATATACCCAGTAGTTAGCGAGGTATACCCAGTAGCTAACGAGGTATACCCAGTAGTTAAGGAGATATGCCCAGTAGTTAACGAGATATACCCAGTAGTTAACGAGGTATACCCAGTAGTTAACGAGATATACCCAGTAGTTAACGAGATATACCCAGTAGTTAGCGAGATATACCCAGTAGTTAACGAGGTATACCCAGTAGTTAACGAGTTATACCCAGTAGTTAGCGAGATATACCCAGTAGTTAGCGAGATATACCCAGTAGTTAGCGAGATATACCCAGTAGTTAACGAGTTATACCCAGTAGTTAGCGAGATATACCCAGTAGTTAGCGAGATATTCCCATTAGTTAACGAGATATACCCAGTAGTTAGCGAGATATACCCAGTAGTTAGCGAGATATACCCAGTAGTTAACAAGTTATACCCAGTAGTTAGCGAGATATACCCAGTAGTTAGCGAGATATACCCAGTAGTTAGCGAGATATTCCCATTAGTTAACGAGATATACCCAGTAGTTAGCGAGATATACCCAGTAGTTAACAAGTTATACCCAGTAGTTAGCGAGATATACCCAGTAGTTAGCGAGATATACCCAGTAGTTAACGAGATATACCCAGTTGTTAGCGAGATATTCCCATTAGTTAACGAGATATACCCAGTCGTTAGCGAGATATACCCAGTAGTTAGCGAGATATACCCAGTAGTTAACGAGTTATACCCAGTAGTTAGCGAGATATACCCAGTTGTGTATTGTTAAGTAAGGTTTAAGAGTGTTTACCATGGCACCATTCAACCATTACTGCCACCATCATCGTTCTCTCATTACCATTGTTACTCTTATTACTACCATTATCACCTGTAATGCTTTCACCATGATCGGAACAACGACTATCACCACTACCACTATCACCACTACCACCATCACTACCACCACTATCACCACTACCACCTTCACTACCAACACTACCACCATCACTATCACCACTACCACTATCACCATCATAACCATCACCACTATCACTATCACCACTATCACTATCACCACTACTACTATCATCACTATCACCACTACCACTATCACCCTGCCACCATCACTACCACCACTATCACCACCACCTTCACTACCTTACCACCATCACTATCACCACTACCACTATCACCACTATAACCATCACCTTCACTATCACCACTATCACTATCACCACTACTACTATCATCACTATCACCACTACCACTATCACCACTGCCACCATCACTACCACCACTATCACCACTACCACCTTCACTACAACACTACCACCATCACTATCACCACTACCACTCACACTACTATCATCACTATCACCACTACCACTATCACCACAACCACCATCACTATCACCACTACCACTATCACCACTACCACTATCACCACTACCACCACCACCACTATCACCACTATCACCACTGTCACTATCACCACTACCACCACTATCACTATCACCACTACCACTATCACCACCATCCACTACCACCATCACTATCACCACTACTTACACTATCACCACTGCCACTATCACTATCACCACTACTACTATCCTCACACTACCACTATCACCACCACTACCACTATCACCACTACCACTATCATACCACTACTACCACCATCACACTACCACTATCACCACCACACTACCATCACTATCACCACTACCACTATCACCACCACCACTACTACCATCACTATCACCACTACCACTATCACCACCACCACTACCACCACTATCACCACTACCACTATCACCACTACCACTATCACCACCACCACTATCACCACCACCACTACCACCATCACTATCACCACTACCACTACCACCATCACCAATACTGTATCCCCCAATTAAAGGATCATTTGGCGTGAAGGAAGCGCCGCCACAGGTGATCTGGGGTAGCGCCTGCTCTCCCCGCAAGGCCTTCCTCTACCAGCAGCAAGACGCCCTTCTGCAGTGTGAGGTATACGCCCCTACCGGCTCCGTCCTTACCTGGTACAAGGACCATACACCGCTTCACCATCAAGTACGTTAACCCCTTGAGTACGTACTTTAACCCCTTGAGTACATACTTTATCCTCTTGAGTACGTACGTTAACCCCTTGAGTATGTACTTTAACCCTTTGAGTATGTACTTTATCCATTTGAGTACGTACTTTATCCTCTTCAGTACGTACCTTAACCCTTTGAGTACATACCTTGACCCTTTGAGTACGAAATCTTAACCCCTTGAGTACGATGTCTTAACCCTTTGAGTACGATGTCTTAACCCCTCGAGTACGATGTCTTGACCCTTGAGTACGATGTATTAACCCCTTGAGTACGGTGTCTTAACCCCTTGAGTACGATGTCTTAACCCCTTGAGTACGATGTCTTAACCCCTTGAGTACGGTGTCTTAACCCCTTGAGTACGATGTCTTAACCCCTTGAGTACGGTGTCTTAACCCTTGAGTACGGTGTCTTAGCCCCTTGAGTACGTTGTCTAAACCCCGTGAGTACGATGTATTAACCCCTTGAGTACAGTGTCTTAAACCCTTGAGTACGTTGTCTTAACCCCTTGAGTACGATGTATTAACCCCTTGAGTACCGTGTCTTAACCCCTTGAGTACGTTGTCTTAACCCCTTGAGTACGATGTCTTAACCCTTGAGTTTTGTGTCATAACCCCTTGAGTACGATGTCAACCCTTGAGTACGTTGTCTTAACCCTTGAGTACGATGTCTTAACCCCTTGAGTACAATGTCTTAACCCTTGAGTACGGTGTCTTAAGCCCTTGAGTACGATGTCTTAACCCTTGAGTACGATGTCTTAACCTCTTGAGCACGGTGTCTTAACCCCTTGAGTACGATGTCTTAACTCCTGAGTACGATGTCTTAACCCTTGAGTACGATGTCTTAACCCCTTGAGTACGATGTCTTAACCTCTTGAGTACGATGTTTTAACCCCTTGAGTACGATGTTTTAATCCCTTGAGTACGATGTTTTAACCTCTTGAGTACGATGTCTTAACCTCTTGAGTACGATGTCTTAACCTCTTGAGTACGATGTTTTAATCCCTTGAGTACGATGTTTTAATCCCTTGAGTACGATGTTTTAACCCCTTGAGTACGATGTCTTAACCTCTTGAGTACGATGTTTTAATCCCTTGAGTACGATGTTTTAACCCCTTGAGTACGATGTTTTAACCCCTTGAGTACGATGTCTTAACCTCTTGAGTACGATGTTTTAACCCCTTGAGTACGATGTCTTAACCTCTTGAGTACGATGTTTTAACCCCTTGAGTACGATGTTTTAACTCCTTGAGTACGATGTTTTAACTCTTTGAGTACGATGTTTTAATCCCTTGAGTACGATGTTTTAACCCCTTGAGTACGATGTTTTAACCCCTTGAGTATGATGTTTTAACCCCTTGAGTACGATGTCTTAACTCTTTGAGTACGATGTTTTAATCCCTTGAGTACGATGTTTTAACCCCTTGAGTACGATGTCTTAACCTCTTGAGTACGATGTTTTAATCCCTTGAGTACGATGTTTTAACCCCTTGAGTACGATGTTTTAACCCCTTGAGTACGATGTCTTAACCTCTTGAGTACGATGTTTTAACCCCTTGAGTACGATGTCTTAACCTCTTGAGTACGATGTTTTAACCCCTTGAGTACGATGTTTTAACTCCTTGAGTACGATGTTTTAACTCTTTGAGTACGATGTTTTAATCCCTTGAGTACGATGTTTTAACCCCTTGAGTACGATGTTTTAACCCCTTGAGTATGATGTTTTAACCCCTTGAGTACGATGTCTTAACTCTTTGAGTACGATGTTTTAATCCCTTGAGTACGATGTTTTAACCCCTTGAGTACGATGTCTTAACCTCTTGAGTACGATGTTTTAATCCCTTGAGTACGATGTCTTAACCCCTTGAGTACGATGTCTTAACCCTTGAGTACGATGTCTTAACCCCTTGAGTACGATGTCTTAACCTTGAGTACGATGTCCCCCTTGAGTACGATGTCTTAACCCTTGAGTACGATGTCTTAACCCCTTGAGTACATGATGTCTTTACCTCTGAGTACGATGTCTTAACCCCTCGAGTACGATGTCTTAACCCTTGAGTACGATGTCTTAACCCCTTGAGTACGGTGTCTTATCCCTTGAGTACGATGTCTTAACCCCTCGAGTACGGTGTCTTATCCCTTGAGTACGATGTCTTAACCTCTTGAGTACGTTGTCTTAACCCCTTGAGTACGATGAATTAACCCCTTGAGTACGATGTCTTAACCTCTTGAGCACGTTGTCTTAACCCCTTGAGTACGATGAATTAACCCCTTGAGTACGATGTCTTAACCCCTCGAGTACGATGTCTTAACCTCTTGAGTACGATGTCTTAACCTCTTGAGTACGATGTCTTAACCCCTTGAGTACGATGAATTAACCCCTTGAGTACGAAGGTGATGAACTCGACCATTATTTATCAAACTAACTCTCTCTCTCTCTCTCTCTCTCTCTCTCTCTCTCTACAGAAGGAGGCGATGCAGGAGGAAATGATCGACAGTGTGAGGGGCGGGGCCAAGGTTCATCTCTCCTCCGTCATCTATATTGACTGTGCTTCTCCAGACGACCAGGTAAGGCCTGTACCGGATTGGCTAACTAGACTTCTTTACCGAAGCATTTGATTGGCTAGCTATACCTGTTTACTTAACGTCTGTAGCATCTGATTGGCTATCTATACTTGTTTACTTATGTCTCTAGCACCTGATTGGCTAACTCCTACTTTTGTTTATTATTAAAAAAAATATCACCTGAATCTTACCTCCCTTCCTCCCCCAGTTTATTTCACCCTAATCTTACCTGAGGGGGGTCAGGTCAGGTCAGGTTAGGTTAGGGAGTTTGTGTACTAAGTGAGGTTGGTAGTGATTAATGTTGTGTTTACTTGTGTTTATATGTCTCTCTCTCTCTCTCTCTCTCTCTCTCTCTCTCTCTCTCTCTCTCTCTCTCTCTCTCTCTCTCTGCCATTCCTTCGGGAGTAACGTGGAATTCTCACTTACAGGGTCGATACCAGCTAGACGTGAGGACCCCGGCTGGTCACCTGTTCACCCGATACTTTACCGTCCAGTTGTTGGGTGAGACACACACCTGTAATGATCCTCCACACTATAAATAGCCTTTATCCTCCACACTAGTAATAGCCTTTATCCTCCACACTAGTAATAGCCTTTATCCTCCACACCAGTAATAGCCTTTATCCTCCACACCAGTAATAGCCTTTATCCTCCACACCAGTAATAGCCTTTATCCTCCACACTAGTAATAGCCTTTATCCTCCACACTAGTAATAGCCTTTATCCTCCACACTAGCAATAGCCTTTATCCTCCACACCAGTAATAGCCTTTATCCTCCACACCAGTAATAATAGCTTTTATCCTCCACACTATAATAGCTTTTATCCTCCACACCAGTAATAGCTCTTTATCCTCCACACTAGTAATGGCCTTTCATCCTCCACACCAGTAATAGCCTTTTATCCTCCACACTAGTAATAGCCTTTATCTCCACACTAGTAATAGCTCTTTTATCCTCCACACTAGTAATAGCCTTTATCCTCCACACCAGCAATAGCCTTTATCTCCACACTAGTAATAGTTTTTATCTCACACTAGCAATAGCCTTATCTCCACACTAGCAATAGCTTTTCCTCCACACCAGTAATAGCTTTTTTATCTCCACACTAGTAATAGCTTTATCTCTCCACAGTAGTAATAGCCTTTATCCTCCACACTAGCAATAGCCTTTATCCTCCACACTAGTAATAGCCTTATCCTCCACACTAAATAGCCTCTCCACACTAGTAATAGCCTTTATCCTCCACACCAGTAATAGCCTTTATCCTCCACACCAGTAATAGCCTTTATCCTCCACACCAGTAATAGCCTTTATCCTCCACACTAGTAATAGCCTTTATCCTCCACACTAGTAATAGCCTTTATCCTCCACACTAGCAATAGCCTTTATCCTCCACACCAGTAATAGCCTTTATCCTCCAAGCTATTTAACAGTAAACCTAATTTATAGTTGTTTTTGTAGTGGTTATAATGTGTAATAATAATAATAATAATAATAATAATAATAATAATAATAATAATAATAATAATAATAATAAAAGGTTTATTAATAGAGTTGCAGCCGGTGGCTGAAAATATACAGACTTACATGTGATTTAGACATAATGATATAATATGCATTGAATACATTTACAGGGCTGTACAGTACATAAATCAGGAGTTGTTTATTATTTTAACAATAGATGGGATGGTGCTGTTCTTATATCTATCGGTGCGGGCTCTTATGGGCTGTATTTTGTTGTAGTGGCGGACTGCTGGTGGCAGGAGGTGGCGATGACGAGGGTGGTGCAGTAGTCCACTGCCAAACCTTTCCAGTGCTTGGTGGTGTGTGTGTGTGTGTGTGTGTGTGTTGGTCATTAATGTGTTTGTCACCTCAGTTGTTTGTTCCCGTGACAGAGAACGTGGACAGGATGTTAGGTCACACGTGCAGGCTGGGGAAGGAAGTGATGTCCTTCGTTCCCCGCATCTATCAGTTCGCTCGCCAAGCAGTAGCTCAGCACGGCCAGACGTTGGTGTTGCCCTGCCGCCTACACAGCCACCCTCCTACCATGACAACCACCTGGCTATTCCAAAACACCCTGCTCTCGACCCCACGCCAGACCAAGTACCAGGTAACACGCACTTACTCTGCTTCATTATAAATCGATGATGATGAATGGTGAACTAGGGATGTTGTCGGCGGTGCTACTGGATGTGGCTCCGGGTTTGGTGGGAGGTCTCTAGGAGTGCGATTGTGTCTCCTTTCCCTACAGGCACAACTGGCTCTATTACGCTCGTTCTCGAGATGTTTGATGCCTTGGGTACAGGTGGAGCGCCAAAGACTACGGTCGAATGTAATAGTTTCAAGATCCTTTGGAGGAAGGTTACAGTTTTTGAGGGTCATTCTGAGCTGTTCTTTGTACCTTTTGCATTGTCCTCCAGGGCTGCGGCTTGCCTCGGGCAGCTGCCCATAGAGGATCTGGCAGGAGGGTCGGTGCTCTGGCATGTGGATGACGTGTCCCGTCCATTGCAACTGTCGCTTCGCCAGAAATGCCTCTATGCTGGTGGTGTTGGCGCGCAGGATGATGTGAGTATGAGGGACTTGGTTATGCCAGGTCAGACAACGTATATGGGAGGCCTCGAGAGCTCTGATGTGCCTTTGGTAAGTAATCCACGCCTCCGAACCAAATAAGATGGTGAAAATACGGACAGCTTGGTAAACAGAAAGTTTGGTTGTAACTTTGAGGCTGTTATTGTCGACCACTGGCGCGCAGACGACGAAAGGAGGCAGCTGCAAGATGGATCCGAGCCTGGATATCCTCGTCGACGTTGTTCTTGAGAGTAAGAACGCTGCCGAGGTAGGTAAAATGTTCTACTTGTTTGACAGGTTCTCCGTTGACCAGGAGTGCAGGTGGTGGGTCTGAGCCTCTGTGTTGAGCAATTATCTCTTGTTTTTTTATGTTAATTTTTAGTCCGATGGTCTGATATATTGCGGAGATAATGGAGAGTCTGTGATGGATAGCTTCTGAGGAGTGAGCAACGAGCGCGCAGTTGTCAGCATATTGGAGCTCAAGGAGGCGGGAGGTCGACGTTTTTGTTATTGCCTGGAGGCGGCGGAGGTTGAACAGGTTGCCGTCTAAGCGGAATTGGATCTTCACACCGCCATCGTCGTTCATGGAGTTACAGCTGATCAGGGTCACTGCTGTGAGGTAGAGATTGAAGATGACGGGGGCCAGAATGCACCCCTGTTTTACACCGACCTCAACACTAAAGAGTTTGGACTTGATGCCTCTTGAGAATACACATGCTTGCATGTCCTCATCGAAGGTCTTGAGGATTTTAATAAATTTTGGAGGGACGCCAAACTTAGAGAGAACTGTCCATAGTACTTCACTATTGCCGGTATCAAAAGCTTTCGTGAAGTCGATCAAAGCAATCTAGAGGTCACGGTTCTGTTCATGGCATTTTTCTTTAAGTTGACGCACGGTAAAGATCATGTCAGTTGTGCTACGATCTTTAAGGAAGCCACATTGCATCTCAGGCAGAGTGGACTCAGCAATGTGTTGGGCTAATATACAGAGCATAATTCTGGCAAGTACCTTACCCGCCACAGCCAAGAGAGATATGCCTCAGCTGTTGCCACAGAATGAACGGTCACCTTTTTCCTGGTAGGTTGCGATGATGCTCGAGTTCCGCCATCTTTTGGACACACACACACACACACACACACACACACACACACACACACACACACACACTTACTCTACACCTGTCTTAATCTTTAGGTGATCCGTTTAATATTATATAAGTAAGACTAAAGAACGACAAAGAAGAATTATGATAACCACGACGTAGAAAATAGTTATATTGATAGATGATAACTTTATATACAAGTAGGTTAGGTCAGGCCAGGTCAGGTCAGGTCAAAAACTAGTAATCCATGTTAAGTCATCTCACTGTGACATTAACCTGCTACAGTATTTTCTCCCGTCGTGACCTGAGGGAGTTGTTGACTATCACGTCCTTCTTCAGGTACTAGCTAATGGTGACCTGTTGGTGCGGGATCTGAGTCCAAAGGATAGAGGCGTCTACACCTGCCGCGCCCACAACACTGACCTGCCCGGCATCGCAGACCAGATTCACACTTTTGTCTACCCACAGGAAAAGGTGTGTATGGGGGTTGAATGTGGGTGTGTAGGGGGTGAATGTGGGTGTGTTTGGTGTGTGGGGGGTGAATGTGGGTGTGGGGGGTGTACATAAGAAAATAAGGAGTCTGTAATAGGCCGGTTGGCCTGTGCATGGCAGCTGCTGTCGAGAGTTACTACCACTCTCTATCATCCATGAATCTATCCAGCCTCCTTTTAAAACTTTCCAGCGTTCCAGCACTTACTACAAAGTTCCTAAGCTTGTTCCACTCGTCCACCACCCTAACCACTTCCTTCCTATCTCCCTCCTAAACCTAAACTTATCCAGCTTAAATCCGTTGCTACGAATCCTATCCTGCTCGGATATTATAAGAACTTTATCTATATCACCTTTATTGATTCCTTTCACCCATTCTATAATAGGGGCACCAGAACTGAACCCCATAATCGAGATGCTGCCTGACTAGCGCAAGATATAGTTGCAATAAGACCTCTGCACTCTTATTACTTACACTTCTAGATATAAAACCCAATACTCTGTTTGCCTTATTTCGAACATTAACGCACTGTTTTCTAGGCCGTAGGTCCGGGCTTACAAGTACCCCTAAGTCTCTTTCACAAGTCGACTTCTCTAGGTTGATGTTGTTAAGGCTGTATACTTTGACAGTATTTGTTCTTCCAATATTAAGTACGCTGCACTTGCTGGTGTTGAATTTCATTTGCTATTTTTCTGGCCACTCCTGCAGTTTATTTAAATCCTCCTGTAGTGCATTTGCATCCTGCCCTAAATTAATCTGCCGCCCTATTTTGGTGTCATCCGCAAACTTGCTTATGTCACTGCTGATCCCAGTATCTATATCGTTTATGTAGATTATGAACAAGAGTGGGCCCAGTACTGACCCCTGGGGAACCCCACTGGTTACACGGCCCCACTCAGATTTAACACCATCTACGCTGACCCTCTGTGTTCTATCGGTGAGCCATGATTTTATCCAATTTAAAACTTTCCCCTCGATACCATGAGCCTCAACTTTTCTCAGAAGCCTCTAATGCGGTACTCTGTCAAACGCTTTGCTAAAGTCTAAGTAAATAACATCGTAACTTTCGTCATTATCTACTACCTCAAAGACTTTCCTAAAAAACGTTAGCAGATTTGTTAGACAAGATTTTCCCTTTGTAAACCCATGTTGAGAGTCGTAGATTAATTTGCTTTTCTCTAAATGCGATCGGATGCTATTTGCTATAATTGATTCAAGAAATTTCCCCACTACTGACGTCAAAGTAATCGGCCAGTAATTTGACGCTGATGCTCTGTCTTCCTTTTGAAATATGGGTACTACATTTGCCTGTTTCCACAAGTCTGGCACAACTCCCGTGTCTACTGATTTTGTAAATAAGTTTACGAGGGGTCCGCTAATTTGTTCCTTACACTCTTTCAAAACTCGAGGGAAAATTTCATCCGGCCCTGGGGATTTTGTCTTCTTTAATTTATTTATCTTCTTAATAATATCCTCTTTTCTGACAGTGATAAAAAGTAGCTGTTTAATGCTTTGCTTATTTCCTCGCTTCCATTGATCACTTCCCCCCTCCCTGACTTTAAGGGCCCAACTTTGTCCTTGACCTTTGTCCTGTATACCTGAAAAAATCCCCTGGGATTCGCCTTGGATTCTCTTGCTATCCTGATTTCATAATCTCTCTTTGCTTTCCTTACATTTTTCTTAACATTCCTAGATAGTTCATTATACCTATTTCTGAGCTGCT